GATCATTCCATCTCAACAGATACCCGCTTCAGAGCAATCTAAAAAATGAAGAATAACCTGTAAAAGGCAATACAATTGCGCGTTCTTTGTATATCCTGTACCTTTAGCCACCTATTTAGAAAAACCGAAGCTTTGCACACAAAAGAAAACTATTCAACCATTCCTACTATCATGGTAACAACCGTTTTGGTTTCTATTATCTTGATTTTTTTGTTTATTTGTTTCGCCTTGCTCCTTATAACTCTTGTGTTTCTTTAGAATTTCAAACATACCTTCATAATTTCCTTCGTTTCTATGTGCATCCTGGTTAAAAATCACTCACTAAATTTCTCTTCTTATTACGTAACTCTAATACGCTTATTCAACTCCTTCTATGCACTGATTATTATTAACAGCTATGTTTGTGACAACTCATCACTTTTGCTGCTACCCTGTTTCATGAAAGAAAATTCTGCATAAATGCGATTTTACAGTTAAACAGGAGAATGAATTCGCTGAAAAGAACCTCGACAAGAGTAAACAATAGACGCCAAAATCAAATAACTTTAAAGCAACCAATCAGATCGTTCATCATTCAAAATGGATGCGGTTTATGAACTTATTTGTAAGTTTCACCCAGATTTAGTTTTTGACTTCTGTGTGGAAAATGGATTGATAGGGAGGTCTAAAACCTGCCATATGCCATAACTGGTTACTAAAGCGACCAGTATCTGCTACAGCTGCAGAGACGGAGAATAAAAAGATTTCAACAGTGCATTGGTATCAGTACTGCTGTGATATTTCCTTAGAAAAGCTAAATTGGATCACCTCTGTACTTAGGGGGAGTTGGCGTCGTCGCACATGTTGACGAAACTCTGCTTATTAAGCGAAAAATGAATCGAGGCAGGAGTAGAGCAAATCATGTTTGGATGCTGGGACATTACGACATAAATCTTCGTAAGGAGTTTATAGAACGCATCCCAAACAAAAGTGCTGATGTGTTAATACCAATTATATAACGACTAGTCCTCCCAGGAACTACTATTCACACAGACGAATGAAGAGGTTATCCTCAATTATCATTACTAGGCTACATTCACCACAAAGTTAACCATTCTTCTGAACTGGTGGATCCTGTAACAGGAACACATACAAATTCCATTGAAGGATTTTAGGCTCACCTTGAAGAACGTCTCTGAATGGTAAACGGTTCCCGAAGCGATATGGTGCATAGCCATTTAGATGAGTTTTTGTATCGACATTGGTTTAATATGTCTGTAACCACTCCTATGACAAACTGGGACCAGTTTTTGCAGCATATTAGAGATATTTATCCTGTATAATTCCTTTTTATTACATATATATGTTATAAATACAGTTTTGTTTTTATTAATTTTATGCCACTTCTTAAATGAAAGAATCTGACAGGTTGTTTCAAGGTCATATGATTTTGGGGTCTATTCTTTACTGTTGCCAGAGCCTCTTCACTGAACTACTTCTCTTGTTTGTTTGTTTTTTTATTAATGTTTGGATGGGAATGGTTTTCGAAGTGAACTTTTTGAAATGAAACACACTAAGGTCAAGATTATCTATTACGAAACACAATACATGAAAGAGATTTTAGAAGTTTCACTGACAAAAGAAAGTGATCGAAACAGATCAAAATCATAAATACCAAAACATGTTCATACTATCGGCAATAGTGACTTGTTTTTTACCTAAATGGTACTTCAAATGATCGTAACGATTACATAAGTTATCTTCACCCATTAAAGTGATTTCTTTATGTAAGTGTCTTCTGTCTTATCGTATTTTCAAACTTAGGTATATTCGTATGAATAAAGCTTACCTAAAGAGAACAAGTTGAAGAAAACTATCTGTTCAACATCTTCAAAAAGAAAAAAGAAATTATAGAATAAATGCTATCTGTTCAGATACTGATTATGACTTTTTATCGCATCTCCTTTCAGGTATCAAAGATAAACGATGAAAACATAGAAAAAATGATTTATTTCAGCCTCAATATGAACTGGATTAGTTGTCATATCCTTTATGTTTGTTTATCTAACTGGACTTCAATTCAAGGTAAAGTGTTATTTCCGCACATTGGCATGTATCATTGATACACAAAGGTTTGTTTGACAAAAGATTCATTTCTTACATTTATACTAAAGTCGATTATTTAATCTTTGTTTCGAGGATGAACAGTTAGAGCTATTAACAGTCACTAACCTGTGACCTGCGACGGTACCGGATCTGTCATGTCCTCTGATGGTGTTCTGGTGACATTTTTTTTGCGAAATTTGCCAATGGCGATGGCATAGTGCGCAACCTAATGGTTGTGTGCAAGGTTTGAAGAAGGCTGTGTACTGTATACATGCGCGATAGAATGCTCGCTAACCACACCTCATTTGGTTTGAGGCTTGGTTCCAGGCCAACGCACTCCTTTAACTCTCTCTCTCTCTAAGCCTCTAATAAAACTGGTAAAGAGGAGAGACTGGGCATGAGGCCAGCAACTCCATTCCGTGAAAGTAAACACCACTGCTACCGAAAATTCAAGTCTCTAGCTTGAAGGAGCCCTATCTTTCACTGGGAACATAAGGGAATAAAAAAAACCTGTAACCATAAATTGGCCATGATTTCGGTGTACCAGAGGATTTTAGCGCATTTAATCTTCATGAACAATCATGCCAAACACCTTATTCATTAAGCGGTTACCTCGGAGGTACAGTGGGATCAAAAGAAAAGACTTGTGCGCATTGAACTGCGAATACAGGCTGTCTTACATCTGCCTGTAAGACCTCCCTTACAATTACACTTATAATAAAGGATTAGGTAGCGCGTATTTCTTTTTTTTAGTCTGACTACACTTAAAGTTATTACTTCAACAGTTTAAGTGTAATACCTACAAAAACAAAATATCTGATAACTATCTGGTGTTTTCAAGTAGTTTTCAAGCAGGGAAATGAATTTTAACAAAAAAGTGATAGGAAATAACTTCTCAATTGTAACACTATAAATAGTGATAACTCTCTGACAAGAAAGCAAGCAGAATAGCATTGAATAAGGCATTAAGAAGACAAATTTCGCGAGATGATATCATTTCGTAGTTTCTTTACAACCACTTTACAACTAACATGGTTAACAATGATAAAATAAAGTTCATGAAAATTACTCAGTTAAATAAAAAACACAAAAGTACATACTAATGACCAATCACATTCAGGTAGGTCATGTAGTCCACAGAATTTCGTCCTTTAATCGTAGGTACAGGGATCGAAAATGTTCGGCAAGTGAGAAAAAGAGATGCGGCGTAAAATGTGCGTTTGTTGGCTGACCGAAGTCTTTGAGCTGTCTTTGAACTGCATAATCTGGTCACCCTTGAATGGTAGTTTAATGAAGATAGCTTTTTTGGTACGGAAGCTGTCTTTTCGAGATGTGGTCTTTCTTTACTGTGACAAATGATAAAGTTTTCCGGATAACCATTAGCTAATAAAAGTGAATGTATATGTCGAAACTTATCCATCAATGTATCACTCGTGCATATTTTTCGGGCCATTGAGAACAAACATTTCACTAGGAAGAGTTTATACTAGATAGAAACAAAACTGGTAAAATGAAGATATTGTCCACTCCATGTCCGTTGACGAAAAATAGATCGCTGAATCGTTCCATCATCTCTCCTGGTCATTGTAATATCGAGGAAACCGAGTTTGTTATTCGATTCTAGTTCGAAAGTCACTCGGATTAAGGACAAAATTCTGTGGATTCTACTTCAAACTGTATCTACAAGTTCACCTGCAGCTGCGGTGACACCTATATAGGTAGAACCAATAGAATGTTCCAATGTCGTCGAAAAGAACATATTCCAAAATGGCTACTAAATCATTTAGAAAATCTCATTGCGATTAATCTGAATAGAAATCAAGCATCATCCATTGCAAAGCACTTATTAATGTCAGGTCACAAAATCAATATTAGTAACTGTTTCACAATTATTTCACATAACTCTAATTCAAGGTATAAGTATAAAACTTGGGCACTGAGGTATCATATCTAATTCAAGGTTAATGAAGGCGATGGAAGCCCTTTGGATTAATCACATACAGCCTAAACTGTGTGTACAAAAATCAATAGACTTCAATCCTCGCCTACCCTGGACTACATGACCTATTTAAATATGATTGGTCATTAGTATGTACTTCCGTGTTTTCTATTTAACTGAGTAATTGTCATTAGCTTTATTTTATTATTGTTAACCATGTTAGTTGTAAAGTGGTTGTAAAGAAACTACGAAATGATATCATCTCGCGAAATTTGTCTTCTTAATGCCTTATTCAATGTTATCAAAGGGACTAATTGTTTTAATTTTTTCAAAAGAATAGCATTGGATAAATATCAGGCACTTTCTGCGCTCTTCATCTTTACTAAGTATCTCCTATATAAATTATTTATTCCTCTTGAGATCCTAGCGGAAATTAGAACTTCGAGCTTGAGCTTTTTACCCAAGGTAGGGTTGCTAGCCTCATTCAGCGAACGTTGCCTCTTTAGAAAGCTTGCTACCGGCTGAAGGAGGTTAAAGAGTGAGTCTCCTGGGTCGCAAATGGTGACCATTTGAGGTACGACTAAAGAGTATTCTACGACTGGACCACCGAATTTTTATTTCCTTCACGTTCCTAGTGGAACACAGGGCTTCAAGTTAGTGGCTTGAAGTTTCTGTAGCACTGTTTATTTTTACAGGATGGGGTTGCTAGTCTCATGCCCAACCTTCCCTCTTTACCAGTCTTATTACTGGCTACATGGGGTAAATGAGTGCGTCTGTGGCCGCGGATCGAACCCCGGGCCATGTGCATGGTCGGCGAGTATGCTAACCGCTGTGCCAACGACGCGAACCACCGATAGACTATTTAAAATTTTTACCAGTATGAAATTATTTCTCATTTCTACAATTATTGGATCTCCCTACTAAATTCATTTCTATTCAAGTAAACTTTATCAATCATATAGCAAAAAGAACTCACAATTCTAGAACAAGCGTAACCTCATTGTCAAGATGATAAGCATCATATAGTTGAATTAATCTTGGATGTCTTAAAGTATTCATAATGGCTATTTCATTCATTACACTGTCCATATCTTCTTTACTAGCAATTGGAACAAATTTAGCTGCAAATTCTCGTCCAGTTTTTATTTCTTGACATCGTTTCACTTCACCGAATTTTCCACTGAAATAAAACAAAAAAAAACAAATTTAAATCAAGACAAAATTTTGGGCGAACAATTGTTTTCGATAACTTCTTCTTCATACACTACAGTTATAAATCCATGAATAATAGAGTACATATAGCCAGTAAAGGCAAATGAAAATAATATCAGAAACTGTATTGGGGTGCATGTGTAAGTTGAGGTGATGGTCCATTAGTTAGCATAGTTGATGAAATGTGTATAGGGTGTTTAGTTAGAAAAATGTGATGAAGTGTGAATGAACAATTAGGTGATATAGTGTAGTTTGATTTCAATATGGGGATTTTTCATTTACTGAAATCTTGTGAGCATCCCGTTGCACTGAAGGCACTCAACGAGTATCTGAAGTATAGTGCAAAGCTCGCTGAAGCGAAAACTAATGTGGATTTTATCCGAAACTGTATTGAGAATAACCAATATCCTAAATCATTCTCTAAATCTCTTCGTCGATGTAAAGTGCGCCCAAACACGAAATCTCTCAAGCGATTCGCTCTTAATCAGATTGAATCTCTCCAAGGATATATTAGCACATTAGAAAGAAATATTCCACAGAGACAGTATGCTGTCGATGAACTCCCCACACATTTAAAGGAATTATTCTTAAAATACGTCCACGATGTTTCTAAAACTAGAGAAACTAAAAAAAGAATCCAGCTTACAAAAGGATTAGATACGGAAATACCAGAATCCCACTTTCCCAAGGACCCTGAAAGGTACGTCTTCAACTTTTCCAGTGTGACTTTAGATAAGACTGCTATGGAAGTGTTGTCACTAGGCCCTAAATTTTGTGATAAAAGAGTTAATATTGACCAATTACATACAGAAGTACAGTTTGAAAACCTCTTCATTCAGACACTTGACCTAACGCCGTCCTCCCAACATGAGTTAGACAGATTTAAAAGTACCTTGGTTGATTGTTGTTACCAATACAATAATGCCAAGATTGACAAGAAAAGTATATTAACTAAAAAGCATAGAGAATGCCTCAGAAAACTAATGTCGGATGACAGCATTATTATCACAAAACCAGACAAGGGATCAGGTACAGTAATTTTAAACAAACGCGACTATATTGATAAGATGAACACCATACTGGAAGACCGTTCCAAGTTTCAAAAGTTAGGTAATAGTAAAGATTCGAATGAAGCAACAGAACGTCAGTTTGTTAAAACTTTGAAGTCTCTAAAAAATGAAAATCTAATTGATAGTTCCATCTTTGACGCTATTAAGCCCACCGGAACTCATACACCTAGACTTTATGGCTTACCCAAGATACATAAGCAGGGAATCCCCCTACGACCAATCCTAGACATGTCGAACTCACCCTTCCATTTAACTGCCAAATGGTTGGTAAAACTGTTAGAACCGTTACACCGCCAGTTGGTCAAATATAGTGTAAAAGATGTCTTTAACTTTGTTGAAAATATTAAAGATATGAAAATAACAGAAAAAACCATGTTATCGCTGGACGTAACATCACTATTTACCAACGTCCCCCTTGTAGAAACTGTCGACTACATATGTGAACAACTCGTAGAAAAGAATATAGAAATTGGAATCACACCAAGAAAATTGAAAGAGTTATTACTAAAATGCACTATGAATGTCCAATTTGTATTTAATAAGGAGTACTACCGCCAAATAGATGGGGTTGCTATGGGCTCTCCCCTTGGTTCCTTATTAGCCGACATATTTCTATCCAAATTGGAAAATGGTCCTTTAAAAGAGATACTAAACCAACTCGATTATTATTGTCGATATGTTGACGACACCTTTATCATTTGTAACAATAATTTGGATAACAACATCTGCTGCAAGTCTTCAATAAGGTACACCCAGCTATTAAATTCACTTGTGAAGAGGAACTACAAGGTAGTATTCCATTTCTCGATGTTCTTCTCACAAAAAGATCAGACGGTACCTTGAAAAGAAACATCTATAGGAAAGCGACGTGGAACGGACAATACACCCACTTCCATAGCTTCATACCTATACAATATAAGCGCAACCTAATTCGCTGTCTTAGTCATAGAATTAGACGCATATGTACCGAGGATTGTATTGAAGATGAAATAAAAAATCTTACAAACGCCTTGCTACAAAATGACTACCCTACCAACTTTGTAAAGAAGTATATCTACGAAACTACACATAATACCAAGCGAGACACAGTAAGTAAGAAAAAGCTTTACTTAAATGTACAATTCAAAGGTGATATAGCCAGTGATATATTAAACCGTAGATTAACAAGATCAATTGAAAGAACTTTTAGTGCCGCAAAACTGTATGTCAGTTTCTCAACCAAACCGATATTGACACCGTGCATTAAAGATAGATTGCCCAAAATGGCGACATCAATGTGTGTATATAAATTTAGCTGCTCCTGTGGAGCTAGTTATATAGGTCGTACCCAGAGGAATTTATCTCTACGCACTCGTGAACATATTCCTGTTTGGCTTGGGAAAAGAACAACCAAATCAATTAATAGTGCAATTCTGTCTCATCTAGTGGATAGCGAACACAGCATCAAAGTAGATGAGTCATTTACAGTTGCGTATCGGGTACCGAACAATCTCCCCAAAGGCACACGATTACGCCTCCTAGCCATAGCTGAGGCTTTAGAGATTAATAGAGAAAGACCAGATCTATGTGTACAGAAAAAACTTATTCACTCTCTTTGTCTACCCTGGCCCACTATAAGGTCACCAGGATCATAATCTTTTCGTACTATTATTATCATTATTATTATTTTGTGATATCATGTCTTTATTATCCATTTCTCCACCCAGTTTATTTCACCTCATTGTTACCCTTACTTTGTCAACCTTTATGATTTTATACTAAACCTACCAATTCTGTAGCATTTTATTACAATTTACAATTTAGCCCCTTTATTTTATCATTAGACATTATCGGTCAGCCCTCATATCCAGTGCCTCATTTTTTAACGTGTCTTTACATGTATTTTGTGGTTATCGCATTTTCTCACCCCAAGGACACTTGTATTCTGTTAACTATAAAACTACACTATATCACCTAATTGTTCATTCACACTTCATCACATTTTTCTGACTAAACACCCTATACACATTTAATTGACTATGCTAACTAATGGACTATCACCTCAACTTACACATGCACCCCAATACAGTTTCTGATATTATTTTCATTTGCCTTTACTGGCTATATGTACTCTATTATTCATGGATTTATAACTGTAGAGCATGAAGAAGAAGTTATCGAAAACAATTGTTCGCTCAAAATCTTGTTTTGATTTCAATATGGGGATTTTTCATTTACTGAAAAACAAATTTGTCAACTAAAAATATGTTGATAAAATAAATAACTTAAAATAGTAAAAGTTTACAGATATTTCAGTAAGCATATACGCACACATCACCGGGGGTCGAACCCAACGCCTTCTGGTTAAAACGCCAGCTAGCTTGTAAACCATTAAGTCACTGCGACCCGATCCAATGGCACATCAATTCTAACTTCTACCATTTCATGGCATACGGTGACCACTACGCAGTGTCTAGCTTTTTGGTTTGGTAGTCCACCTAAGAGAATCGAGTGGTAGTATTAAAGCACTGCGGTTTATTTTTATTTATTTTGTTACAATATGTCACAAATTTAATGCCAAAAATTTCGAAACTTCTGAATAAAAGCACTAGGAAGTATTTGAGGAATCTTAGGTTAGAAAGAGTGTTATTCGATTAGAATATCACTTAATGTACCTAGATAACTCAGACTAGTCCATAAAGACCTACAGAAATATGAAAACCGATCAAAGAACACAACTGAATGAAGTAACTAAGGTTTTTAATGAAAAGAATAATCGGATGACTTCGATAAGACCATAAACCGCGGATAACCAAAATCCTGAGTCATCAAAAGGCGTTTGATTGAAACAATATGGGAAAAAGTTTGGTGAATATTCTCTGAAACGATGAGTAACTGAGAGCCAATCGAATAATATTTTGATGATTTAACAATAAATAGTACAACGAGTCAAGACACACCAATCCAATGAAGTCAACAAGTCTGATAAATTATAACGAACTAAATTCTTAGAGGACAGAAAATAAAATATTTCAATTATAAAATATATAATAATAATATAACAGCTTTGCTCCAAACAGTATTTGTGGCACAGGTATGGAATTTTCAGCGTGCATTACAATATATTGCATCTAATTACCACATAAATTTTATAAGATTTTTAAAATCAAAAAAGGAAAAAATAAATAAATAAAAACAGCGTAGCGTTTACATTTCAAACAATGCACCACAGGATACAAAATATAAAGTTGATGTGTGAATGGAAGATGAGAACAACAGTGTAATAGTAACGAGGAAAGGAAAACAAAAACTAATGGGACTATTTGTTAGAGTGCCGCAGTAAGTTTATAGTGTCATACCTAACGAATTTCTCATCATATAACAGCAGTGCCAGATATAGTATTGCGGAATTTGTGTACTTAGTAGTCCTAGCATATAGCCTCCTATAGCTGCTCCTAGTTCTACCAGATGAAATGCAAGGAGAGAGCTGAGTATAGAGAGGATGCTCGGGGTCTGACAATATTGTATTCGCTAGTTTCCTACATGACATTATATGTCTATCCACAATAGTGTTAACCAGTTGCTTTAACGATGTTCTACTTGCCCTACTAACGGCTTTTAGTGCCCTTCTCAGAAAAGCAAAGTCTTTCTTAAGTAGTCCAGGAAAGATTAATAGGGAGCAGTAAAGGAGGATGGGTAGAATACAAGAATTTACAAACTGAGAAAGCAAAGACTGCTTTATGCCAGACTGCCTAAATTTCCTAATGTAGAACGTTAAGCGAAACATCTTTCTAGTAACTAGCAAGATGTGGGAGGACCAGGAAAGATCGGTGGAAAAACTCAGCCCAAGGTACTTGACATTAGATGTATTTTCAACCTCTGTGCCGTCAATGATAGCGGGGCCATATGAGCTAACTAG